CGGGTAAGCTGTTAAGTCGGGAACCAGAAATGCTTGAGGGCTGAAAACTTAAGGGGATGTTCCCCGTCCAAGTAATTATTAATGAGCTCAAACCAAGCTCTCGGGTATGCGTGGTATCCACGCACGGTCTCACCAAAGTTTTTCTGGGGTAAGTTGCTAACTCGAGAACCTGAAAAGCTACAAGACTGTAGTTTTAAGAGGATGTCCCCCGTCCAAGTAAGTCTCAAAGAGCTCAAACCCACACATCGGGTATGGGTGGTACCCACTGCGGGCCCATGAAAATTCCTTTCCAGTAAGTTGCTAGCTCGGAAGCCAGGAAAACCAGAAAGCAGAAATTTTAAGGGAGGTGTTTCCTGCCAGTTTTGGCGGCCAGTCTCAATTTATTTAGCTGGAAGCACTTGCAGAAAAAACCGATGTCGCGACAAAAACTGCGGGGAACTATGCAAAAAACGCATCTTCGCACGGGCAGCCCGTGCGTTGGCCAATTATTTATTCTCAGCTACTTGTCTTCCGCTTGTATCATTTTCTACTACGTTCATGAAAAAAATCACTTATGATTTTAACATGGAAAAAGGATAACTAACAGTATTTTCATGATTTCTTCCAGCTTCATGGTCTCGTATGAAGAGTCCCAGTTCGCATGATGCGATTTCGAACACTAACGGATTACGATCCCGCAAAATACGGTTATTTTTAATTGCAGCAGCATACATAGCGAGAAGCTGTGAATACTGTGAAAAATGTTTCTCTTTGAGCGTATCCCGTATATCTGTTCGTTCCAGAAAATGCAACACAAAAGTCTAAAAATATTCGGAAATTTGTACCCTCCAGCATTTCCCTAAATTCTTTATAAAAAAAGAACAAATAACCAAAAATGATATTTTTCTTGGGTTGATGAGACAAGTCTAACCCCATGACATTTCTTTGTGGTCATTTGTCGCACAATATTTCTGCACGGATCCCAGATAGCGCATTTCAGCAATAAACCATCGAACAATTTTTCATTGGCATATGCGCCAAGAAGGACGAATAATGCAAAATTATCGTTGCTCAGTGAAAATTCTTCAAAATGCTGGAGCAGATCTCCATAACTAGAAAGATGATTGAAGTAAACTGTTAGCACTCTAAGAGGCGTGTATTCTTGGCCAGCTGTTCTTTTTTTTTCCGTTCTCTCTCTCCCTCTCCTTCTTTCCTCTCTCTCAAACACAGACATCATCATAACAATTGTTTTTTTTTTTTTTTTTAAATGACTTTGAAAAATTTAAAAAAAAAAAACGATTTGACAGGCTTTTTATTTTGCATACAGCTCCAGCAATAGAATTTAACAGTACGGATCGCACCAGAAATGCCCGTATGAAAGTCGATTTTATTAAAATGTCGCTATACCGAACGGGATTGCTGTGACTACTTAACTTCAACTGCTTACCACAAAATTTACAGAAGTTTTGCTGCAGAGATTATGCAAACCCTGCTTTTTTAGCAGTAATATTCAGTGGCACGCGATGTAAGCGGCCTGCCCTACTCAATGCACATAAATTTTGCGATCACGGCAGTATATTGCAAGCCTTTCATATGACTTTGCTGCTGCACTTTTTAAGGACATAAAGGAATAAGCCATGTACCTTATCGCTCTTCCTCAGTATAGCCAGCTTTTGGCGGTGATCAAGAATGATACTGCAATCATAGGCGGATCCAGAGTGGCTACCTGGGGGGGG